CTAACGAGTTGTAATATGATGCTACGATTGGCGAGACTCACTGATGATGCCGACTACGATGCCGGAGAAACCTCTCGGAATGTACCACGTCCACGATCCTACTCTGGAAATGATGATGCATACAATGTACTCCGGACTAGGTGCGTTCCTCTAAGCCTTCATACCAGTATGACCAAGTTGCGAAAACAAGGTCAAACAACTTCTTAAATATATAGGCTTTGGTGGGACATGTTTTAATTCTAGTTTTCTTCTATTACGATACTTGCTGAATGAGAATAAATGCCTAGAAGAGATTCATCTTTGTTGGAGAAGATTGTGGCGAGAACAGTTGCTCCTAAAACAACGAAACAGTCAAGAATAACACCAGCAATTCAAATATAATCTATCATAGTAAGGAATTAATCTGAGATTTTCATCACTAAAATTTCATCTCAAAGTCAAAGGGATAATGTCATATTAAACTTGAGCGGACAAATTTGCATAAGTTGAAACGAATTGTTTTTTCCAACTTATAGTATGCATTCTATTATGATTGATAGTATCTTGGTAAACATATAACTAATACATATAACAAGTAAAATGATTTTATATGCTATTCATAAATTATTTCAGCAGCAACATCTTAAGACCTAGTATAAATAATATAAATTAGAAACGTTGTTTCAATATCAAGTGACTAAAACAAAAAATTGATAACCAAGTAGGAAGAGAAACTTGAAAAATATGCGAGAATAAAACTTTAATCATGGCAGAAGAGATGTAGAAGAAAGTTCAAAACATTCTATGTTGTTCTGAAAGTAAAACGCTTAAAAAATTTTATATGGTGATAAAAATAAATCTCTTCCGCTTAAAAGGTGCTTTCAGCTGCTAATTCTAGTTCATAGGCATTAGGGGAATTAGATTTAAAATCACATTTAAATGAAATTGAAATTCAATCTGGAGGTTCAATTTAAATTTCAACTAAATCCTTGAATAAAACTGCCCAATATGTCGATAATTACGAAAATATGA